ATTGTTGAAGATTACTTATATCACACCCATTAACTAGGAATACTGTTGAAGATTACTTATACCACACCCATTAATTAGGAATATTGCTGAACATTACTTATATCACACCCATTAACTATGAATATTGTTACAGATTACTTGTATCACAAACATTAACTAGGAATATTGTTGAAAATTACTTATATCACACCCATTAACTAGGAATATTGTTGAAGATTACTTATATCACACCCATTAACTAGGAATATTGTTGAAGATTACTTATATCAAACCCATTAACTAGGAATATTGTTGAAGATTACTTATACCACACCCATTAATTAGGAATATTGTTGAAGATTACTTATACCACACCCATTAATTAGGAATATTGTTAAAGATTACTTATATCACACCCATTAACTAGGAATATTGTTGAAGATTACTTATACCACACCCATTAATTAGGAATATTGTTGAAGATTACTTATACCACACCCATTAATTAGGAATATTGTTAAAGATTACTTGTATCACAAACATTAACTAGGAATATTGTTGAAGATTACATATATCACACCCATTAACTAGGAATATTGTTGAGTTGGATGTGTTTATTGTTAGATGTATAATTATGAGTTCTGGTCCTCTTACTTTAATTAATTAAAAACCTGTTAGACTATTATTCTAGTTAATTTTACTTGTACTATTAATAAAAGTTAAAAAAAGGAACATGAACTTAAAACATTCTTATCACTAGATGGTTCATAATTTTCTATAAATGATTACTTTTCATAACATAGAGATTCAAGCATGATTTAAAACATATAATAAGAAACCCAACAAACCATGCATTTTTCAAAAACATACATTCTTCAAGTGTGAGCTGAATTAAAATTTAAAATTTACATTCTTATTATAAATTATCATATGTTGTGATTCATCTAATTTCTGATCCTACATGATTTCTTAATATCATGACTCAACTATAGGGTAAACATATTCAAGATGTTACTGGCACCATTCTGAAAAAGTACCGTTAACAGTGAATTTCCAAATGAAGAACAGAAGTGCTGTTAACAATGAACATTTCCCAATAAGGAATGCAAACACTGTTAACAGTGATGATCTCAAAACAAGGAACTAAATGATGCAGGTACCTACATTTGAATTCCTCTAACTAGTTCATCTCACCAACTTTATTATCTTAATTAACTAATCAATCTTCATTCCAACTTTTGCTATTATTGAAATGTCAGTGATGTATATTTTAATTAATTTCAGTTCTAGCTCTAATTTGTTACTTGCTTGTTTACAGAAATGATGTACCATTGCATATCTAAAGATGAAAAAATAAATTTTAAAATATTACAGCAAAAGAATCACTCTAATGGAACTATATTGTGAAACAAAAATTACACTGATTGCCACTTTAAACCACATGTAAGAGAAACAGTGTTATACTAACAAAGTAGTTTAATTTTCAGTATCTCACCTCTTTTTTGCTTAAATAGGCATCCATGTCTTCCCCCTCTTCACTTTCACTTTTCCTTTTGAGCTCTTTCATCCTCCTACAATCTTCATTTTCTTTTACTATAAATAAAAACAAAAAAAGATTTAAATAGCAATCCTCAGTAGCATTATTGAATGTCTCATTATGACTACAAATGGCATTTTAAAGGTTAAAGATCTTATTCAAAATATTTTATTCCAACACTTTTGCCGTTAACATAAATACTTAAAAAATGCAACAAAATATTATCATAAAAGTCATAGCTTAAACAGGAACTGTTATGGCTGAACAGACTTCTAATTTATATTAATCTACATAGTTTTATGTCTAATGATAACAATTCAAAATAAATAACTTGCACTAATTTTTGAGACATCTGCAAACTCTGTATTTCACTATATCCTAGTCCTGACAGGATTTCACCAAGATTTATACACAAGCTTTTCTCTACGTTAAAATACTTTTATTTGCAAGCTTTCAGCCCTCTTACAAGAGCCTTCATCGGGCAACAATGTGCTGAGCAATAAAATTTGTTAAACTGTGGCACACTGCTTTGAAATAGGTATCTAGGCAACAGTCGTAACAATAACTGACATCTGGTATTAAATCTATTAAACATATAGAATTATGATGAATATAGAATATAAAATGATTGCTTCGATATAATAAACACAAGGTATTATACGGAGGAATATAGCATTAATAAATAAAATAAAGGAAATTTCATACTTCAAATAATACATTATAAAATTAAAGGTTTAATTTTGCATCAAACCATGACAAATAACATTCTTTATGTCTTTTATTAGTGATGTCCATGCAGTATTGAGTAGTTGTTTGAAAATATAAACCAACATAAAAAGTATATGTATGTTTTTCATTATTACATACTGATTCTCTACACTTTAAATTGTATGTTTGAGATCACAGGCAACTCTACAGAAAATGACAATCTCTTTGTATAAAAAAAATACAATTCCTTTCTTCTACAACAAAAATTATAAAACTGTGGTATATATAATAGGAATGTACCATGTGTTTTTTACTCTCTTCATTAATATTGTTGTGAACGATTAAAATATTTTGTTTTTAGATGTAACTGAAATATATTATTATTTGTTGAAAAAATGTGTATTACAATTTTCTGTCTTGTAGGTTATTCTGGAGAGAAGGCACTGAATGCATTCAGTATTAATTGACAAAGATTTGATGTAAACTGTATACATTAGCATCATTTGTGAATTCTTATGTACACAGTTTTGGAATCATTTTTGATCAAGTCAGATACATATAGCACAATAAGTGAATTTTCTGGGAGTCTTATAGCCTTTTTGGTGACTCAATCAATAGTCCAGTATCAAAAAATCAACTCAATTGTGTAGCCAAAAAACTGCATAGTTAGGCCTGAGTCCAGTACTATTTGGGAAAGTGAAATATTTTGTACAAGAGTCTAATAACACAGTTATTCAAATAAATATACAGGATGTTTTAATTAGACCAGTGTGACAACATGTAACTTTTTTCAAAATTTCTGTATTATCTTTCCATTCAGAATGGGTTAGAAAAGTCAGTTAAGTAAACACATCTTAAGTTTGCTTCTTGCTAGCTCTATCAAGAATCTCTTTTCTAATTGGCAATTAACAGAATTTCTTGTAGTGATGATAGCAGGTGATGTCCAAGAATACAAAACTATCTTTTCTATCAGTAAATAAGGTAATGGCCCAGGGTTTCCCCACACCCTAGCTCTTAAGAACCAGCAAATGGAGGTTAAATGTAGTGTTTTGTAAACAAGGTTCTCCTTAACTTAACAGATTTTCAAAGTCTTTGCTGAACTTTTAAACTTAGATCGTACTGTAACATTAATTTTACTTTCATATATCTTGCAACTGAGTTGAGATATTGGCAAGCTTTTCACTGAACTTTTCTTTAGAGCTTTTGTGAGATTTTATTTTTATTATAACTTTAACATTTTTTAGTTTTAGTAGAGTATTTTTTATCTTAAATCAAAGTGAGAAACATTGTTTAATTTGAACAATAACCTCCAGTTACTGGGCATTAACTGACTACTCTGAAGCAAATCCACAAGCCAGAAAATACTGCAATATAGGTGTTTATAATGTTTCTAGCTATGAAAAATGTGCAAACTAGAATGTAAAAAAACAGAAACTTTGGACCTTTCATACTGTTACATCTCCGTTTGTTAATTAATTTTCCGTAACTTCGTTCCGACTGAAATTTTAGCGACACAAGTCCTTACTTAATAAAACTGGTTTATTCTTTCTGAATATAACTTTACCGATACACTTATTTTCAACAGTCGCTCTATAACAAACGTTTTAACAACGAACGTTAACTTCAACAATACTTCTGACTGCAGTTCAATTACTTACTACCTACACACATTGTTGTCACGTTGTGAGCGTATTATATATATACCAGACAAACATATATCTAGTAAATGCTAGGGCATTCACGAAGGAACAAGATAGTTCTAGAAACGTGGCGTGACACTAGTCACGTGACCTCGCTGACGCAACAATACTACTTGTGTGGTCCTTCGCCCCTCCTCCTTCCAACTACTCCCCTGATGTTTTACTTTTGATCATCACTTCGAAATATGTCCAACGTAGGCAATAAATGATTTTTTTCCTAGATCATCTTAATCAATAATTAAGAATAAAGATTACTCTAAAACTTAAGTTGCCAAAAGTTCGTAAAACTATGACTTATAACGATCTAAGTTGCTTAAACTTAGCACAAAGCCTAGAATATGTTGTGAATCAATTGCAGTAACGTTCGTGTGTTTTTTTTTCAGAATTGCAATGGTCTTTTTAAACTATTAGCCGTCAGATACTACTGTTATAAAGATTCGCATGGTTCACAAGCAGTCTGCTTTCTTTGGATCTATTGTATTGTTATGACAGCGGAAGTCACGTGATGAAATTCTAGAAGGATCATGAATTGTCCTGGCAATTCTAGTCCGTACCAGGCGCCCTCTTTTTTTAGTATATAAGCCCGGCAAATAAAGCAGAATTAGACAGATATAGAGATAGATAATTGAGTCAAGCCAGCAGTAGGCACCGAAAGTAAAGTGCGTGAATCGTTGTGAATTATACCGTGTGTTTATAAAAGTAGTTAACTTTAAAGTGACTGTGGAAAATCTTTGTATTGCAAAGTTGTATCGAGAAAAAATAACTAGTTTTATTTAAGAAAGGAGTTGTATCGTTGAAGTCCAATGTTTTCCAAACTTCAAATAGCGGCGCCCCTAACTCAACAAAGTTTCAGTTGCGCCCCTTTCACATTAAAACACTTTGCGCATATGATAACAGCAAAAATCAACATTTTCTTTACTCGTTTTTAACATATTTTTCCTAAATGAAAAATGTAAGGAGTAAGTTAATGCGAGAAAGAAAAAAAAACCACTGAGGACAAAGTGATAGTTTTGTTAGGGAATCTTCGTCCACAACTCTTCCATGTTTATTTTTGGGCTCTCCCGCCAAAATCGCCCCTCCCAAGGCCTAGTCGCTTAACGCCTTATCAGAACATTAGAATGATTCTTTTCGAATGACGCATTATAGTGAATCTTGAATTTGATTCGATTATTTTGACTCACCCAATCAAAAACTACGAGACAGAACTCTGTTTATTTCTAGTTAAGCTACACAATAGGATATCTGTACTCTGTCCACCACGAGTATCGAAACACCGTTTCTAGCATTGCAAGTCCACAGAACTGAGGGACGTGACAGAAGTAACCAATATAATAATATAAACTCATGCATTGATTAAAAACTCTTGAATCCCGTGTGATAATCATTCTGGAATTTTCAACTGAAAGCTACACAAAAAATCCACATCATAATAAATAACAAATAATGCTCATAAAAATTATCATCATCATAATTATTATATCCTGATATTTGTTTACTTACTCCTTAAGTAATATTTAATTATTTGTATTTCGTGTTTTTATAAAAAATAAATTCAAAATTTGATATGTCGTTTTATTGTTGTCATTGTTATTTTCTATTCTTGTGACCAAAATTTAAATGTTAAAACCTTCAATGAGTTTGTTTCAAACCAGTATATTCAATAGTGGCGTTGTG